GAGCAGAGGCAGCTCCTGTCACCAGCTCCCAGCTCCCCAGTCTTCCTGCTAATGGAGGCAACAAAGGTACTGAAAGGGAACAATTTCCCTCTCTGGAGTGAAAGCAAAGAGAGGAAATCATTCATTCAGGAACTGTCTAACAAATAATAATACCCAATATACCTTGAGTGTTTACCTTGAGTGTCAGACACTGAGAAGGACTTTACATGACTTGTGTTACTGAATCCTCACAATGACCCCATGAAAGCATTATTTTTACTCCCATCTTACCTAGAAGGAAAGGTGACAAATGCAGGACTCCAGCCCACGTCAGGCTCTACACTGGCAGCTCTGCTCAGCCAGGTCCTGTGACCAAAGGTGCTGAGGATACGTGAAGGGTGGGGCCAGCCTCTTGACCAGCAGTGACAGCATATGGGTTGGTCCTTGGGGGCAAAGGGTGCACAGAAAGGAGTCAAGAAGCCCCCAAGGGAAGAGGTTCCAAACACTAAAGGAAGTGATTCCTTCCTCCACCCCTCCTACACCCATCCCCACGGGGTCAGTTCTAGGGGTGGAGAAAGTGGTCTCCACTCAGCCTCCTATCTCCAGCCAGTCTCCTCTGTAGATGCAAAGAGCAGCTTTCATTCCCTCCCCCACCCAGCTGTGTGACCCTGGGAGAGTCACCTACTCTCTGTGCCTCGGCTTCCTCTGAGATGAACTGGAGATAAAGATGGGTGGCTGTGTGGTCTCAGAGAGGGCACATGCACAGGAATTGGAGAGCTTGCAGGATCAGGATGTGCCTATTGTGCCCCCGACAAGAGACAGTGGGGGCATCCTGGGGGCTGGGTCCTAAAGGGTGAGTAGTTTCCAGGGGGGACTCAGAACCTGCAGGAGGTATCTGTGCTTCTGTGCCACCTCAAGCCTGGAGTCTGAACCACCCATTAGGGCCAAAAAACATACTTGTGAGCCAGCTTTCCGACCTCAACACAGACCCTGCCAGGAAAGAGAGTTAACATATTGGGCTCCAAGCCAACCAGTATCAGCGCTGAGCCAGTCATGCAGCTTGGAACTCGCCCACCATACACAGCCTGGAGGGAGACTGCGCTGTCCCCTGTCCCAGTGGGAAATGCGAAGTGGAGGGAGTAGGAGGTGGGGTGGTGGTGTTGGTGGTGGAGGAACCCAGAGCAGAATTCTTTGAGGGAAAGATGCCAAGGGTGAGGAGGTAGGGGCTGGGGGATAGATTAGGTCTCTGCCTCCTAGCCCTTCCCTCTCTCATAGCTTCATTTTCATCAGTGACCTGGGGGTTACAGGCTGGGAGTATGCAGTCTGTCGAGGCACTTCCCAGGAATGGTCGGGACTCAACCCCAGGCTGACCCGGCCCAGGAGCCTAGCCGTAGTGCCCTTCCTCTTCACAATCTCCTCCCCCAACATGTGGTGGCCCGGCTGCTGCTGTTCTCCAAGCAATCCGATTCTGGAGTGGCCAGCAGACAAGCCCAGAGAGGGCTGGCGACTCACCCGTGGTCACACAGCACAGCAAAGCTCCCAGTCTGGGTGGCATGGGGCCCCCAGGGCTGATTCTCGGAATCGCTGTTTCCAGAGGCCCTCTTGGGAGATGGGGACCAGGAGGAGGAAGGTCGGAAGAAGGCCGCTCTGTGGGTGCACACTGTCCCCAAAGCCCCGGGAGGACCTGCAGCTCACTTGGGCCTTTGCACAGTATCGTCTGTGCAGAATCACTCTCTCTCCCTCCCTTGCTGGGCTTGGTCAATGCAGGGTCCTTCCAAACTCAGCTTCCGGGAAACTGTGAGAACTAAGGTAAAATGGGGGAGGGGTCAGGAAGGAGGCCAGTCTCCTGAGCAATATACTATAATCAGTGACTTTCTTATGCTCCTGCCATAACCAGTTAGACGCTGTGAGGGGTGAAAAGATTCCATTCACAAGAGCCGTATAAAACACCAAGGAACATGCTTAAGAAACAGAACCATAGGAACAAAACAACAAAATTTACAAAAGGACATAAAAGTCATGAATAAATGAAAGTCCTACGGTGTCCTAGATGGAAGGAAATATTGCAAATTGGGAAGATGCACGATCTCCCTCAAATTAATTTCTAAAGGCAGTTAAATCAAATTTCCAAAGAGTTTTTTAAATTTTACTTTCTTTTGGGACCTAGCTTTAAAAATTCTAAAATACTCATTCAGAAGACTGTCTTTCCACAATAGCCATGAGAAGTTTGAAAAAGAAGATCAGGAATCAGAAAGATGACTTGCCCACCCAAGTATTACAGAACTACAGTAATTAAAAGAGTGAGGCTGGTGCAAAAGGGAACAGCGCCCTAGAGGGGAAAGTGCTGAACCGCCTAGAGCCATCTGGGAACTTAGGACGTGGTCTACGGTGGGGGGAAGTGTGGCTCATTGGGTAGTGCTGTGCTAACTGGCTAATCCCTTGGGGAAAAATTAAGTTACAGCCTTACTTCACATCTTCCGCCAAATTTAATTTCAAATGAACTAAAGATATAAATCCTGACTATCATGAAGAGGTGTTACTATAAAATAGAGGTGAACGCTCTTAGAAAGTTAGATTTGAAAAACCCTTGTTAAGTATGATACTGTAAGCAGAATCTATAAAGAAAAGATGACAGACGGCTACATTAAAAAAAATTTAACTTCATTATAGCAATAACAAAACAGGATAAAAACAAAAATGGAGAAATGCAGCAGATGTTACAGATAGGAGGGCACTACCCTCTTTAATATATAAACAGCTATCATAAATTAAGGAAAGGAGAAGCTCTATGATAGAAAAATAAGCAAAGGATACACACAGTTTTTTTTAAGGCATGAGTGACTAACACACAGGAAAAACTAACGCATAACTAAGGAAATGCAAATTACGATGGCAAAAAAATCTTTTTTCCTGCTTGAATTGGCAAAGATTTACAAAATCAGCAAGATGCACTACTGTTGTGTTCGTCAAGACAGCCTTTCCTGAGGACTGACAGGTAGCTATCAAAATCCTTAAAAAACAAAACTAAACAAAACAAGCCTCTGACCCATCAATCTTATTTCCAGGAATTTATCCTAGGGAAATAATTAAGCAAATTCACAAAGAATATTCATTGTAGCAATGTGTATGATAGCAAAAATTGGAAGTAAACTAAATACCTATTGATAGGGAATTCGCTAAATAAATTAAGGTATATCCATACAATAAAATATTAAACAATTCTTTACAAAGATTATGTAGATATGAATATGAAATATGAAAAATCTTCATTTGTAAATTAGAAAGCAGGTAGCAAAAAGTGTATTTTTGTAAATGTAGGTACACAGGAAAAATATTCCAAATATGCTTTGCTAAATTGTCTAAAATGTTTTATAATGTTTTACTTTCTCAGAACAAGCGTAATAATGTTTCCATTCGGGAAACCTAACGTCGTCAGGAAGTCTCCTTTGACCCTCTTTTCCACACTTCCATCTCTGCCTGTTCTCAACCGTGAGGTCATGATAGGTGACTGTGTTCCCAGTTGGCCAAGAGCTCTTTAAGGGCCCATCATGGTTGATTAGTCTCTGATCCTCAGGGCCTGGCACTTACTAGGTGCTCAACAGGATGAAATGAATGACTCGTTTTCTCCTGTTGCCGTGAAAGATCGGTGAACCGAATGGAATCCAACCGATTAAAGCCGCTAGCTCTGACCCTACTATCTCGGAACCGAAGGTGAGAAGAAAAAAGCCTGAGAGTGAAAGTCGGATCTGGGTTCCTATCTTCCCGGAGGCTCAGCAGCAGCGGGGCAAGTTACGTCGTGTAGCTGAATCTTGGCGGACTTGAGTCTGAAACCTGGAACGTCACAACCACCCCCACCAGCAGGATTGCGTACCAAGCAAGACAGCACACATCAAGCGTTTAGCAGAGTGGTAGTACACAGTAGGCACTCAAAAATAGAAGCGAATCATTGAGCGATGAACAAGTTTGTCTCGGGCTCAGAGGCGCCCAACCAGAAGGTTGTGGAGATAGGAAGCCCGGCAACGCCGCGTGGCCTCCTCTCCTGCACGCGCCCTGCAGACGCCCGGGCTTGCTGCAAAGGGCGGCTGCAGCCGCTGGGGCTCTGCGCGGGGGTTTCCGCCGCGCTGTCAGCACCGCTGCCCTCGCTCCGCGCCTGCAGCCCGTTGGGGGTCGAGGACCAGGGAAGAGGCTGATCACCGGCGGGGCCCGCAGCCCCGAGGGCGAGGGTGCAGAGAGGGCCAGGCCAGACATCCTTCCACCGCGCCCAGCCCGAGCCCGCGCCTGGAACCGTGCAGAATTTGGGCCTTGGATCAGGCTCTCCCCTGGTACTCCTGAGTTCGAATTCTGCTCTGTCCCATACTAGTTGTGAGATGTGGGACAAGTCACCTCACCTCTCTTGAGTCTGTTTTCTCACCCAAGTGGGATAATAGGACTTACCTCGCAGAGGGTGGTGAGACTTAAGTAAGACCCTGTAGGGGAAGCGCGAGGCGCAGGGCCCCTCGCAGAAGAGCGCCCGAGAAATCAAGCGCCACGGTGGGAGAGGTTCTTTCTGGCCGCAAAATTGTGCCCTGCTCCCTGGCCCTGGCCTAGGCCGTGTTCGTGGCTTTGACCACGTAAATGGGCCATTTTAGCGGGGTCGAGAGCGAGGACAGCAAACGAGGCTGCGCTTCTCCCTGTCCACCAGGAGCACACGCAGCTGAGAGTCTTAATTCACGTGGCTCGACAGTTGATCCGGAGGAATATGTCGTGCTGTGTCTGTGTGTATACAGGTGTGTGTGTATCCCCGCGCGTGTTCGTGCGTACGAGAGTGCCTGTGGTTGTGCGGGAAACAGCGTGTACCGGGCGGCCCGCGAAGATTCTTCTCCCAAAGGCACCTTCCGGCTTTTCTCCGCGCCCCCTTCGCGGTAAAGAGTTTCAGCCAAACTAAGGGAATCTGGCGTGGCCAGGGGAGGGGTGGGTACGGGAGGGGCCACTCCATCCCGGAGCCACTGGTTTGGGGATAATTACTTTTAATGTCAGAAAGATTTAGTTTAATATCATCTCTATTAGGCTGCCGGGAGGGTAATTAAACGGGACGCGCCGCAGCCGGCGAACAGATGGCGTCTGCTTGCTCCGAGGCCGCCGGCAAACAGCGCAAAAGTCAATGCCTCCCGGGTCCCCCGTCAGCGCCCCTGGCCCGGCTCCTACTCAGCGCCACCAAGCCATGCCTCCAGCCCCCTGTGCACCCTCAGCCTCTGACTCCAGCCTCACTCCGGGTCTCCACCACGGCCATCCCTTTGGACCCCACCTTCGCCTGGGCGAAAGCATCGGGGATGGGGCCAGCCGCGAACACTGGTGGGTGGACTTCCGTGCGTGGCTGGGAGCGCTCACCCGGGGCTCCCAGCCCCTTGCACAGCAGAGGCATCAGCAAATGATTCTGAGCTAAGAGGACCTGCGTGAGTGAGTGTGTCCGTGTGTGATTGTGAAGACGGGCTTTCTGTCCTCCGCTGCCTCATTTGTACGGGAGGTCTGGCTTTCTCTGCCCAGAGTCCAGCCGCCTGCAGGGGCCAGACCTGGAGCAGGGTTAGGTCCGTGCAGGAGCGAAGGCACATGTGCGTGAGCATATGCTATTGGTGTTCCGTCTGTCACCCAGGTAGGAGTCTGGGTGTCTGGGTGAAAGGTCACACACCAACTGCATGTTCCAGGATGAGGATATGCTTATGAGAGCGCTGTGAAGTTAATCGAACTTTCTGAAGGGATCCTCTTGGGTGGGAGGGTGGCCGGGTCAGAGGTGAGTGCACCCTGTGCGTGGTCACTGCATGCAGGTGTGAGGATGTGTCCAAGACTTTTGCAGAATGAGGTCACACATACCAGTTGTGTGTCCAGGTATGATGCCACACTCTGGTGTATGGGCAGCCCCTGCTGCCTCAGTCTGGGCATGCTCCCTCACTCCTGGCCGCTCAGCCAGGCCACCCCCTTCCGGGCTGCTCCCCTCTGTGAGCTCAATTCAAAGCAGGACTAGCCCGGGAGTGGCCTGTGGAGGTGTGAGTGCACGCCTCCCTCCATGACACATTCACTCACATGAGCACCTGGGGCATCAGAAGAAAGGGTGTGGGTCTCGAACCTGTTGGGCTGTGAACAGGAGGGAGAAGGATCCACCGAAGAGAGAGGCACCTGTCCTAAGGGTGGGCAGATTCCCTCTGATTGGGCTGGGTTCCAGGATGTGCCGTCTTCCTCTCCTAAGAAAATGAGGTCCCTTACATACTAGCAAGAGAGCTCGGGGTTCCCAAGTCCTGGTGGCTGGACCCTTGGCTCCCACAGGTTTACTGGACCGAAGTGAGGGACTCTCACAGTGGCCTGGCACGAAGAGGGGTCTCTGGCCCACCGCCCTCCCGAAAGCTAGGCAAACTTTTGTAGTTCATTTCGTTTGGCCTTAAAAATAACTTCTCGAAAACTTTGTCCGAGGTAGCTCCGGAAGGAGGCGCCCGGCCTGGCGACCCTGCGCAGAATCCGGCCGCGGTCCTCTCTCCCCCACTCACCCCGTGCCAGGGGGGCAGTCAACGCACAGATTTCCTTGACCTCATAACCTCAAGGTGTTGGAAGGTGGGGTCCGGGTCCTACGCTCCTGCAGGACATACTATCCCAGACTCACTTTCTTACCATCACTGCACAGCGGGAGACCCTACAGGGGCGGACCCCTTTCTCTCCCCCAAACACCTTCGCAGGCCCCAGCGAGTGGAATTTGCTAGGGGCGAATGACCTGGTTTCTAACACTGCCACAATCTCTGTCCTGGTCGAAGAGCGCTCGCGCACGGGCCGGGTCAACTTTCTGGAAGCTCTCCGCCGAGCTCTTCCGCATACCACTCTCCCCACTCTCCCTCCTCCCCCCTAGCCTGGCCCTCCAGGTCGGCTTCCAGGAGGAAGCCGCGCGAAGTTCCGCGGTCTGCGGTGGGGCTCCGCTCCCTGTGCCTTCCTTCCCCAGCCCCAGCCCCCGGCGTCAGAGGCGGCTGGGCTGGCAGGGCGCGGCCAGCACTCGTGCCAGGCGGAAGGGCTTGCGTCCGGAGACCCCAGGGCCGAGTCTGCACGCCCAGTACGCCCGCGCCCCAGACCGCGCAGGCCAGAACCCCGCGGCCCTGGAAGTTTGAAAGAGCAACGTGGAAACGCATGGTCGGGAGTGGAGGGAAAACTCATTTTTCTCATTAAACGAATTTTCTTTACTCTGAAGGAGATAAAGAAAAGTAGAGAATAAAAATGTGAAAGAACATTAGAAGGACATTAGAATGAGGAAAAGACCTGGGGTGGGGGGGGGGGGGGGGGGAGAGGCACAGAGAATCACAGCCAGAGAAACCCAAGGCGATCCCGTCCGAGGACCGCGGCATTAATTCCAGATGTTGCCATTCAAAAGGGAAAGAAAATCCGAAACCTGTTACCTCCTCTGCAGACCGAGCTGTACCTCAGGCCGTGACGTCAGGACGGGCGAGTAAGGCGAAAGTTAAAAGTACTCCTGGGGGCCCGCGGCGACCTTGTCTGCAGCCCGGAAGGACCGACAGATGGATGCGCACCCTGCGTCCAAAAGGATCTGGGGAGACAGAGAGGCCACTTTTAACTTTCGTTTAAAAAAGAAAATTAAACTGTTCGTTAATTTAAAACAATAACGATGAAAAGAATCCCACCACCACGAAAAGGAAATCGAGATGCTGCAGAAGTGAGGAAAGGAAAGAGCAAGAGGGGGCAGAGGGATGGGGCTGGGGGGAGGGGAGAAGAAAGGCGCAGAGCGCAGGGGACGCGGCGGGCGTGGACGGGAAGCGCGACCTCATTCCTTCTCTCCCGACTTCCTTAAGAACGAAAATCCTCGTAAACCACACTTACCCTCCGTGCTGCCTATCGTATCAGGACTTGAAAATAAAGGACCTGCGTTTTAAGGGCAGTAGGGGAAAAAACAAAATAGCCTCCAACTACTCCAAACGCGTCGGACTTGGGAGCGCGCCGAAACGGAGCCGGAAGGAGGCAGGAAAAATCGTCTTGGCATTTATGCCATATGCACCCTCCTCTCTCCACCCCCACCCCGACCACAGTAATTGAATTGACACCTGCCCCCATCCCGCCCCCGGGCCGCCAGGGCCACTTGGGAAGGTCGGCCTTGCCAAGCGCCCCGGGCCAGTGAGAGCGGCCCAGCCGAGCCCGCGCCCCAGAAGCCGAGGGGTTACACACGTCTACGTAGAGGCACCGGACACGGTAATTAGGCGCAATTCACACGCTCTTGGGCGCACGGAAACTACTTGTCACGATATTTTCAACGCTCCTCCTTGCCCACTTTTTTCCACTCCTTCCCTGGCGCGCCCCCTCCCCTCCCGGAGGCACTCGGTGGAGCTTTTGGAGTTTCGAATCTTTCGGACACTGTAGAATGCGGGGCTCCCCGGGCGCGGGCCCCGCCAATCAGAGCGCCGTCTGCCTCCCCTGGCCAATGGCAGGCGCCACATTGTTGTCCAATTCTGTCTAATGGAGCCCTAAGGAGCAACAATAGAGCGGGCGAGCGGCTCATTGAGAGTCTGGCAGCGCCGGGCAGCTGGGGCCCGGCTGGACGCAGCGTGCGGCGCGCTCGGCGAGGGGACCCTGCGCGGCGAGGGCCAGGTCGCGGGTTCCAGCCAGCCGGTCCCTAAACGGTCCCCCGGCTCCGATTTCCGACGGAAGGGCTGGACTGCGCAGCGTTCTGAGGGGGTCCGGAAGTTCGGACATGGTGACTGGAGGAGGGTGACGTGGTCACATAAGGGGCCGGGGGGCAAGGGGAAGAGGCCGAGAGCGCCAGCGTCGCGAGCGGAGCTGGGAGGCGCGTGCAGCGCCAGCGGAGGAGGAGGACCCCCGAGCCCAAGGCAGGTAGTTGAGGGCCACAGGGAGGGCGGGGGAGGCGGCCCGGCCAGGCCGGCCGTAGGGAGTGCGCGGCCTCAGGGAAGAGGCAGCGCGCATAGGGAGGGGGCTAGGATCCCCGGGCGGAGACACCAGGGTTGGGGCCCGGGCTCCGGCGGGGACCGGCGGACCCAGAGGAGGCCGCGGCGGAAGCGCTGAGCTGGGCCTGCTTGGGCCTTCAGGGGCCTCGGCGCAGGTGGGACTCCGGTGTTCGCTCAGGGCCGGTTCCAGAGGCGACTCCCTTGCCTCGGTACTGCCTGCTGGGCCATCTGAGTCCCAGGAACCCAACTCCGAGACCAGAACGCGGGAATGTGCGCCCGAGCGGGGTCCCGCGGGGCCCCAGGATGGGGAGGGCGTGTCTGACGACTTGGTCCCTAAACCGGGAGGGGAGGGGAAGGCCCCAAGAGACGAGCAGCAAAAAGGATCTCCTTCCTGCAGCGCCTAACTTTTGCAAGATACTTTTTCCTCCTCGACTCCTCCTCCAGACTCCAAGGCTAAAAACCGTGCCGCAGGTTTCACCCCATCCCCACCCCCAGCCTGCAGGCCTGCGGGGCTTTCCCTCACGCACACTTCTTGGCCCCGCGTGGGCCCTGCGACCCAGACAGCCTATCAGCTGTTCTCGCTGTTTTCCTCGTCCCTCAAGCTTATCTTTGGGCAGGCTTTGCCTATCTAAAGAAAGTTTCTCTGACTGAATTTTCACTTTTCTCCTCCCCAGGCCTCCTAAACTCAGCTCCACTCGCGTTTTCTCTCCCACTTTCTGGAGGCCGCCCCGTGGAACTTGTAGCCCCCACCTCTCCCCGGGTCCCCGGCCTCGGCCTAACTTTGCTCCCGAGTCGTTTGTTTCCCTGCTCTCACGCCACTTGCTAGAGCTCTTCCTTCTGTTCCTGATTTTTCTCTCGAAATCTCCTGCTCCCACCAGCCAAAAAACCCCCTCCGCCCACCCAGCAGAACTCCATGCCTCGCTCGCTCTCTCCTCTTCCACAAAACTGAACATTTCGCCTCAGGTTTTCCTGTTTTGCTCTCGGCATCGGTCTAACTGTTGGGTCAAAATTTTCTCTCTAATCCGAGTCCCATGAAACAAACCTTTCTACCTGTCTCACCCCAGTTAAGCTACACTTTGGGGGATTATATTTTCTCTTCCGAACCCTCGTTCCATCCATCTGAACCAGTGACTTTCAGTCTTTTTTTATTTTTTCCAGAGGAACCACTGATTCAAACGAAATCTTACACCCTGAGCATAAATCAGATAGAAGAAGAGCTCTGGTGGGGGTGGGGGTGGAGGAGCTCGGCCTTGCAGGGGGCTCCGAGGGCACCTGCTGCCAGCAATCCGACAGTCGCTAGCCACACTCCCGGGGCCGCGATTTCCCCGTCTAAGCCTGGGCTCCAGGAGAGCGCGCTTGAGCTTAGCGCCCCAAGACGCCTCACCGCACGTCTCCCCCTCCCGCCGTCTTCCACGCCAGGTCCTGCCATGGAGCTGCGCTCGGAGCTGCCCAGCGTGCCAGGCGCGGCGACGGCGGCGGCGACAGGGACGGGGCCGCCCGTGGCGTCGGTGGCATCGGTGGCAGCGGCGGCGGCGGCCGCCGCTTCGCTGCCGGTGAGCGTGGCGGGCGGCTTGCTACGGGCGCCGCCGCTGTTGTTGCGGGCGGCGGAGAAGTACCCGCGGACCCCCAAGTGCGCGCGCTGTCGCAACCACGGCGTGGTGTCGGCGCTCAAGGGCCACAAGCGCTACTGCCGCTGGAAGGACTGCCTGTGCGCCAAGTGCACGCTCATCGCCGAGCGCCAGCGCGTCATGGCGGCGCAGGTGGCGCTGCGCAGGCAGCAGGCGCAGGAGGAGAACGAGGCGCGCGAGCTGCAGCTGCTCTACGGCACGGCCGAGGGCCTGGCGCTGGCCGCCGCCAACGGCATCATCCCGCCGCGACCCGCCTACGAGGTCTTCGGCTCTGTGTGCGCCGCCGACGGCGGGGGGCCGGCAGCCGGAGCGCCCGCGGGGACCGGAGGCGGCGCAGCGGGCGCCGGGAGCTCAGGTGAGGACGCGGCCCGGCGGGGAGGAGATGGGGGCAGGGACGCGGCCCGGGGACTTGTCTCGGGACTTCTCCAAACGCCCCGACTTTGAGACGCCCCGCACCTCGCACCCAGCCCCAGAGTTTGGGCATAAACACAGAAACTCTTCTTTCATCCCCTTCTCAAGCATTTGCACTTTACTCCTTCTTTCACTGCGGGCCCAAATGTAAACGCTTTGATCTTATCTCCTCTCGGCAAACGCAGGCAGGTCCCAGCTCCCCGGCCCGCTTGGCTCGGTCTTCTCCCCAGAGCGGAAACCCGCGCGTCTTCTCTTTTCCTTGGGTCTGTGCTTCTCCAGGCGCCGTGGTTCCCTCCGCTCTGTCCCAGTTTTCTCCAGAAATCAGACCCTCTCCGCGCCCCCGCCCCCGCCCCGCATCGCTTTCTTTAGGCGTTGAAGACACCGCATTCCTTTACCCGGGTGTGACTCCTTCTCCGTTGTTCCTAATGCTCCCTGACAACCGCAAGCTGCGCCCTGCTCCTCCTTTCTAGCTTCTTCCCCACTCGTCCCCGTTTGCTCGGAGTACGCGCTGTCTCACTTCCCTCAATCCCCTTTCCTCTTCTCCGTCTGCTCCCTTGCCTGGCCCCACCCTCTTCTTCAAGACTCCTTGGCTTTTTCCAGGGAGGGAGAAAATTAGGCAGGGCACATTCTGGGGCCCTCTCAGCTTGGGAGGAAGGAATTCCTTAGGTCTTAATTTTGGAAAGGGTGCATTAGAAACAGAGGCTCTACTTTTGCCTGTAGAGAGGCTTGGGATCTCATGGATGCCCAAGGCGCCGTCCTTTACAGGCTGTGCTGCCCAGGGCCAGAGGGGCACCCAGGCCTGGGCTTGCTCTCGGAATCACGGAGGTGGAGTGGGGTCTTCTATACAGTGTGTGGTGTAGGTGGAAGATACTTTGGCTCCTGCTTGAACCCTGGGCCAGACCACTTCTCCAGGGCAGGGCAGGACTAGAAGAGGGATAAGGGTGGAGGCGTTGGGGCGCAGATGTAGGAAGAGGGGCACTGGACCTTGTGTTTACAGGGCACAGGTGATTGAGGTGCTGGGAACAGAAAGGGAGCGCGCCCTGAGGGCAGGGGGAGAGACTGGGCTGTAGGGGCTCCGAGAGGAAGTAATGCCATGCCGGAGCAAAAGGAAAGAGGGCACTGGAGCCCAGTGAATGAGGGTCGTGGGGCTCAGAGGGAAACTGGGATCCAAAGAGCTGGGTTGCTGTGGTGCGGTCGGCTGCCCACTCCTAACCTCTCCTAACATGCCCTTTTCTCCCCTCCCAGAAGCCAAGTTACAGAAGTTTGACCTGTTCCCCAAGACGCTGCTTCAGTCAGGCCGCCCGGGCAGTCCGCAGCCGCCGCCAGGCAAGCCCTTATCACCCGACGGCGCGGACTCGGGTCCGGGGGCATCGTCCCCGGAGGTGCGGCCGGGCTCGGGTTCGGAGAACGGCGACGGCGAGTCCTTTTCAGGGTCGCCCCTGGCCCGGGCCTCCAAGGAGGCAGGTGGGAGCTGCCCGGGCAGCGCTGGCCCCGGAGGCGGCGGCGAGGAGGACAGCCCGGGCTCCGCCAGCCCTCTGGGCTCGGAATCCGGTTCCGAGGCCGACAAAGAAGAAGCAGAGGCCGCGCCCGCGCCGGGGCTGGGCGGGGGCCCGGGTCCACGGCAGCGGACGCCGCTGGACATCTTGACGCGCGTCTTCCCGGGCCACCGGCGAGGCGTCCTGGAGCTGGTGTTGCAGGGCTGCGGCGGCGACGTGGTGCAGGCCATCGAGCAGGTGCTGAACCACCACCGCGGGGGCCTGGCGGCCGGCCTTGGCCCCGCCGTGCCTCCCGAGAAGGCCGCGGTGGGTGCCGTCGCAGCAGCGGACGACGCGTGGCCGGGCCGCGTGGACGCCGCCGCCGCGGCCGGGGGTCCCGGGCTGCCCGCGCCCCTGCAGGCCGGCCCCGCCGTCCCGCCGCACCACAGACCTTTGCTGGCCGGCGCCATGGCGCCCGGGGCGCTGGGCTCGCTGAGCAGCCGCTCGGCCTTCTCGCCGCTGCAGCCCAACGCCAGCCACTTCGGCGCCGACGCGGGCGCCTACCCGCTGGGCGCGCCGCTCGGCCTCAGCCCCCTGCGCCTGGCCTACTCGGCGGCGGCGGCGCACAGCCGCGGCCTGGCCTTCATGGCTCCCTACTCCACCGCCGGCCTCGTGCCCACCCTCGGCTTCCGCCCGCCCATGGACTACGCCTTCAGCGACCTCATGCGCGACCGCTCGGCCGCCGCCGCGGCTGTGCACAAGGAGCCGACCTACGGCGGCGGCCTCTACGGGCCGATGGTCAACGGCGCCCCGGAGAAGCAGTAGGGCGAGGGGCCCGGCAGCCGGGCTGCCGCCGGACAGGCGCCCCAGCCTGGTCCCCGCGGGCGCCGGCCCCCCGTCGTCGGCGCGCTCTCTGCGCCCCAGCTGGGGTCCTTTCGCTCCAAGGTGGCTTTCGGTTTTGGGGGGGGGGGTGGGGAGAGCCGAGCAAGGAGAGCAGCTACAGATACAGATGTTCTCGGAGGTGTGCGGGGCCCGGACCCTCACCCCCGTCCCCCTCCTCAAGGCCCGCCGCCCTTCAGAAGGCCGGGAATTCTGGAGAATTCAGAGGCTGTGGCCGCCTCGCGCGCCCCTGCCTCCGCTTTTGCTCTGCTCCTCCCGCCCGCCGCGCCCTCAGACGGATGGCAGGATAGTCCCGGAGTCTGTCTTCTGTGTCTCCTCCCCCCTTTAAAAAAATTTTTAAATATCCTCTCTAACAAATATAAATTTAGGATGTATAAATCTCTTGGCACTGAGTCGAGTCTTTGGGACACACATATATATCGATATCAATTGTAAAAAAAAAAAAGGAAACAAGTTCTAAGGTGCACTTTTCTCGTTGCGGTATTTGTCGCTCTCTTTGTTGCTTATGCCGATAAGCATGGGTTTCCTTGGTGCAGTGTGAGTTTTTATATATGTATAAATCTATATATAATCTATACATATATATACAAGCCAGTGTATAATGTTATAAAATGGAATTCTAAGTTATTAATTGTAACTTGTAGGTGACCTCGGTATTAACGTGAAAAACATTCAAAAACGAGCAAAAAAAATGGACATAATGGAAAAAAATTAGACTATGCGCGCATTGTACTTATCAGGTTTTATAGATTAAATATATTGTAAACTCGGGACGAATCCCGCCCCCCACCCCCACCCCTCGCCTGCGGCCGGTCTCTCCCTAAGGAGCGGTCAAGGTGCGCGCTGAAGCAGGAGCAGAGCAACGCGTGACTGAGCCAGAGCCGCCGCGCGAGGGCCCATCCCGCCGCCCGGGACCCGCCAAGCGCCCGGGCCGATGGGCCGGCAGCCGGAAACGCTGCTGCAGAGAATGGCTCACTTTGTGCTTTCCTTTGCATAGACATGAGCTAGAAATAAATGTTATTTTCTAAGAAAACGCCGATCCCGTCCGGCTCCTCGGGCGGCCGGATTCAAAAGGTCTTAATTTCCCGTCGGGCCGCGGGGCCAGGGAGAAGCCTGACCGAGGTCCAGCTGGCGCTCTGACCCTCGGGGATGCGGGGCTCGGAAACTTCCCGGGGCGCCTGGGAGGGCCGGCCGACGCGAGCGGCGCGCGGCTCAGACCTCCGGGAGCACGGCGCCCGCGGCGCGGCTGGGACCCCGGGTCTCTCCCGCTCCCGGCTCGGGCGCGCGGGCGGCGGCGGGGTCGCCTTGCTAGTGCTCTCGGCCCCG